CGTATTTCAGCAGCCCTTTGTTGTTCGGGAATCAACTCTGCTTTCTTCTCCTCAATCATTTCCAAAATCTTGATGACCTCTTTGTTGGCTTTTACCACCACCTCCCAACTCTCCTTTACAAAAGTCTTCTTCGACTCGACCAATTGCTCGTTTTTTTCTAATATTCTCAGTGTTATGGAGCATAGGGACAAAAAATTTCTCAAACGTAGTCATCATGGTTCGAGTAAGAAGCAAATGAGGCAAATCTAGATTCAATGCATAAGTACGAATCTTATCCATCAAGATCTTGGCTTTTGTTGCCTCAGGTCCCAGTTTGCCACCATGAAGTTGAGATTGGTCGGAGTCATAAGAAAGCTCACAAGAGCTTATTAAGCTACGTAGTCTAGCCATTGCCTCCAGAGCAGAAGAAGATTTTATCACAACTTTCTTCGACAATGTAGGCAAATCAACATTTTTTGGGGGAACAGTTTCAGAGGTGGTGGCATCTTTTTTCGCCCCTGAGCCCTGCAAGAAATCTGAAAGACTAGAACCAAAACTAGTCGAGCTAGAATCTCTAAGCATGTCGGGACTAGTGTTTGAGTCACAATCACTATGATTAGCATGAATAGTTAGATCGACGAACTCACCAGCATCGAAGACAGGATTTCCTTGATTATGAGGAGAAGAACCCATTGACAGTGGGTTGTATTCGGCCACATTTTGGGGTTGTCGATCAGAAATCTGAGCCTAAAAAGAGAAAATATATTAATAAGATGAATCTAACGAGTTAAATGAGAGTGGGATAGGTGACTACCTGTGCCGACAAGTGAAGATTGACATTTAAATTCTCTTCAATGGGGACAACAACAATGGTCCTGGTTGGCCCTAAAGCTCCAACAATCTTGGGGGGAGGAAGTGGGTCGACAATTGCTATGTCCACCACTATGGTATTAGTATCTGGATCAGGGCTATCCTCAACGTCGTCGGCCAAAGGCACCTTGGTTTTATTTTTCTTCTTTGCTACTCAACTCTTGGCAAGAGAATCTTTCTTCCTTTTGTGGCCTTTGGATTTTTGGGAATGATGAGGGGACTGAGTATCAGGAGATGGCTGAAGACAATAGAAGGAAATATAAGTTATTAAAAAAAATAAAGGGTAGCTAAGCCGACAAAAATACCCCTGTCCCCATAGTAGAATGATGTTTATCCTTCTTGGACCTTTTGGATTTGGTGGAGGGAGCAGTCAAATTTGTCGAACGGTTTTGACTCTGCAGATAGATGAAGTGTTAGAAACCGTTCAAACCATAAGGAAAGTTGAAGAAATAGCGTACAAACATACGTACTGAAGAACTGGGTTTCTTAAGAACATTTGAAATGGTGTCATCATCAGAGGGAGATTTATCAAGAGTAACCTACGAGGTTTGAAAATTGGCTAAGTGTATGATGCTAAAAAAACAAAAACAAAAACAAACAAGAAATCAGTAAAGTTCAATCCTGAACCTTTTCTGTCGAAGGATCAGTCTGATCGATAGGAGCACCCTCTTAGTCTATTTGAATGGCTGTAAGGAAAGAACAATCAAATAAGTAACAAGAGCCAAAAGAGTAAGGGGGCAAGCTTTCCAAAAAAATTGTTACCAGCTTGCATGGTAGAACTCACTCTAACATATTAAGGATCAATATGAAGAGGCCCTGAGTAGTTGGGTAGATAATGCTTCGTCGGTACCACTCTCTCGGCCTTTTTCTTATAAGAGTTTTCAATATTTGACCAAGGGCTATACCACCAGTCAGGAATAGGTGGGCCAAAGGCCAAAGCCAAGGAGCTAGATGGCAAAGGAGAAAATTTAATTTTTCCAAAATGAAGGGCGTAAAGATACTTATCTTTCACGTAACCAGGAATTTTAAGTTTTGGGATCATGTCGGTTACCTTCTCCTTTAATTCTTTGGCTGCCTCAAAATGGTCCGACGAAGATCATTAGGTCGATACACAACTCAGAAATACTGCTGGAAATCTTGAATTTGTTTGGCATGAGTAGTCTTACATTTGGTTGCCTTCGCCTGCAAATTGGTAAAAGCTTCGGTTAGTTCAACTAGCTTTGCCTCAGGGGCACCAACATATGTAGTAAGATATAACTGCCACCAAGTTTCAAATTCCTTGGTATAGTAAAATGCAGGTTGAAAAGGGATAGAACCAAGCTTAGGCCTCTTTTCCCAAAAATTCTCGAAGTCTACTCTGAAGACATCATAAGGCTGATCAGTGGTGATGTTAAAAATCAACTCAAAGGAGGGAAATAGAGATTTAGGGATAAACTGACAGAGCCCAAATTATCGAGCCACTAAATTAGGTTGGCAAGAAACCAAGCCTGGAGTGGTGCCAACAATTAAAGCTGACAGAAACTGAGGAACCAAAAATTCCTCCAGATAGCTAAAGAATTACTCTTGTCTTCATTTCTTGGAGGAGGAAAAGCTCTAGTAAACCACTCAGGGGCATCGGGTCTATTACAGAAAGGAGCCATTGAAGGTTCAAAATTAACAAGAGTCGAAATACCTCGACACTGGGTGAAGTTTTATCACCAGGGGCATATGAATTAGGAATTTCCAAACAACGTGACGTTCAACCAGAGGACACGCCACTCTTCTCATACCATATGGCCTAATATCTTTATAGAAAGTGGCGTTGAGCCACAATTGTAAGAACCAAAAGGGACCATGGGCCAAAATGTTCTTCTTCTTGGAGTTGGTTGGGTTGAAAGTTTTGATTTGAGAAACAACACCAGATAATGACTCATAAAGAGAAGCCAATATTAGCTGGCCCAAAGCAATATCACGACCTTGATGTAACTGAGTAGCCAAATATGAAAATTGGTTGGCTATCTGCATAGACCTTGAAGAAAAAACAAAGTGATACAACCATAAGGTCAGAAATGCTACATGCTCTTCAGGAGTCTAAAGGCATGGGATCTTGGCATGATAGTCGATGAAGTTATTATACGTCAGTTTACCAGAATCACCTACATCAAACATCAAAGATATGGGTTCTGCATCCCCGTGATTGAATACTCGACCAGTCAGTTTTAATCCAGTAATGGCAGTAATGTCTAAAAGTGTGGGAGTAATCATGCCACACTTCGTATGAAAGGTATTGGTCGAACCCTTCCAAAATTGGATTGCAGCCAGCAGCATACCGCGGGAATAAGGAGGACCATAACAAGAGATTTGTAAAAGGGTGTAGATACCTAAATTTTTCCATTGATCAAGTTTTTCTACTTCTAAATGTGTCATCCCGGCATGGAACTTAGGGCAACTCCTGGGAGGAGTAGTCCTAAAGTTTCTATCTATATAATGTAGTGACAAAGGTTGTTCAAGAGAAACTAGTAGTTTAGTAAGGTAACTGGTTGGTGTTGTACCCTAATTTTTTCCCCTAAGATCCCTCATCATACTTCGTACATTTTGCATATAGCATCGGTCTCATGGTTATAAGATCGAAGAGCTTTGGCATTAGGATTTTTCTCTCTGAATGGAGGTGGGTCGCTTCAAATTAAAAGTGACTAGAATATGTGGATTTAATTGAGATTGAGGTACATAACCTTCATTAGGTCATCTGACGCATCATGCATCATTAATCAATAGTTTGGCTTGAAATCAGGGATTTCGAGGAATTAGGTTTGTTGAATGGCTTTAAGGCTTTTATCTTTGCACAAGCTTGTCTCGATTGATTTCTCCATCAATCATTCGTTCGAATTAGGATTTTATTTCCTGGACTTCTTTATCATCAAATTACAGGGATATTCTCTCTCCTCAGCATCAGGTTGCAATCTATCTTCAATGCTTAAGAATTAGGTTTTTCTTATGTTATGCTTCAATTGGGGATCATTGGATTAGGGTTCGATCTTGTGGTTATCTTGGGTTTCTCCTTCTTCAACATTATGGACTTATTTTGAATGATACAATTTTTGGTTCTCATCAAATATTTGTTACTTCAATTGCAAGTTAACTTGGACTATTGAGAGAAATGACTAGTGATCTGGATTCGTTGAGACTTCTAATCATGCTCAGAGTTAATATTGATTCAAGGGCTTATTAAGTTCATGAATTTGTTAACGATTGATTCAAGATAGGTTCAGGAGCTTATTTAGCTCATTTTATCAAATAAAAGATGTTTGTTTCAAATGCAAGATGACTAGAATTTATGGATCTAATTGAGATCAAAGTTCATTGACCAAGCATGCCATTTGAAGTCAATTGAGTTTCTACTTATCATGAATGCTCGAGTTACATTAAGGATCGATTTAAGATGAACATGGAATAGAAGTTTTTAATGTGATTCAAGGATAAGACATTTAACTTGCTTGAAGAAACAAGATATATGCGAGAGATGTTACAAGGCTTGTGGATAATTTTTCTGGTTTTCTTGTACTCATAATATAAGTGATTCATCAATTAGCTTTGCTTAGGATTTGGATTATGTTTGAGATACAAAAAGAAGATTTTGAACTTAAGGTTAAAGAAGGGATCGCGATTCATTCAAGATACATTTTGAGAAGATGTAAGCATAAGATAATAAATTCAAAGACAAGTGAATTAATTCAAAGTCTCTTTTCTTGATTCAACCATGGCTATTACAAAATCAAGAACTAAGAACATTTACACTTTCAACCATTCAAAATTATATAAAAGTGACAATTTCAATCCAGCTTATAAATATATTACATCAAAGTCCATAAACCAAAATTCAATTACATCCAAATACCACCACAATCCCAACAATCACAAACCCATCTCAATTAAAATAAAAAAATAATCCAACGCCATTTGGTGAATGCTGATTTCAGATTCTCGATCTTCCTCTCTTGGTTCATTTCTTGCAAAAAAAAATCCTCATCTTTTGCATCATTGAGTTGAGTTTGGATCGATCTATCTCTCGCTTCCCTCTCTTCCGCGAAAAACCCACGATTTGATATCACTGTTGGAGTAAGCCTAGATTCACAAAAAAATTTCACTTCTGCTGTTGTTTTGCGTTCAAGGGAATGGAGTTACCAACTCTGAGAAAACCCTTCATCTAATGGGTTTTATTTTCTTTCATTATCTTTGCTCAGCCTCCCATACTGCCAGCCCTCTGGCGGGATAAAGAAAAGTGCAGAGAATCTAGGAGAACTTCTTATGGGAGATCAAATTGATAACTCACCATACCGATTTCGAATGAATGTAAATGAGACGATATACCTCTGTACAACTTCACCATTGAATGAACATGAAGTAAAGCTACTCAAGCAACAAACTCGTAATCTGTATAAAGTGAATATGATCTTTGACAACTTACCAGTTATGAGGTATACTAGCCAAAATGGGGTTAAAATCCAGTGGATCGGGTTCCCTGTTGGGTACACTCCAACTGATAGAAGTGTTGATTACATCATTAACCACCTGAACAAAACAGCCTCACACTTAAAACAGAGAAATCAAGGAACACAGTGGAAACACAAAAATATAAAATCAGAACAAAAACTCAAAAGATGGGAATTCCCAAACTAACCTCATACCAAATTCAATCTCAACCTTCAACCTTTTGTAACTAACTTTAATCCAAAGGTTAGGATTTGCTATTTCCTAACAAACTCATAACAGATTAATACAGAAAAACTCACTGGAGATTCAGTCATTCTGGATTCTGTAGAAGAATCACCAAAAAATAGCTAAAACACCCTCGTTCTTCTCATATTCTACTTCATCTTCATTCTTTAACAACCATTGGAGAATCAGAAAATACCAGAAAAAAACTCAGAGCTTGATCTTTCTCTGAACCACCTCAATTCATTCTCATTATTCTTTATAATCGCTGAAGAATCACACCAAAACCCTCTCAACCTATCTCTTCTCCTCTCATCTTCATCATTCTTCATCGGTTACTCGAGAAAATTTCTCTCTGCATTCGCTTTCCATAACTGTTTCTCAATCTGCATCTTCACCATCTTCCGCAAATTCTTCACAGTTCCTCATTTATCACACCGCAACTTTCAACAAGAAATTCCTCAATGCTCTACTCTCTACTTCAATCTTCGATCATCATTAAGTTTCAGCTTCACAAAAAACGCAACGCACATCAACAGAAGGTTCAAAATGACGAAGAAGAGAGCGAAGAGAAAGCGTACTTGAACTATTTCTTAAGAATCTCTGGATTTCTATTCAATATCTTCGTCGCTGCGAAATGCCATCGGAGCGACTCCGATCGGTAAGTATCATCTCCTCTAAATCTTGCACATCTATGTTTCTTCCAGCTTGGCATCTAGTTTAAGTCCGTAGAATCTAAATCGATACCAGTGTGGAGTTCACGGATTAAAACTCCAATTGAAGGTTGAGAAGAGGTCGAGACGCGATGACAAAGATGGAGGCGTCATTGAGAGGCGAGTCAGAGATTACCAGAGAAAGAAGTGGACCACCGCGTCTGAGTCGAATTCATTGAGAGACAAGTCAGAGACCATGAGATGGTGAGCGATTAGCGTAGAGCTTGAGGAATCAGAGAAGAGGGAGTTGTATTTTTGTGAGAATATGAAGACTCAATTCTTTAACCCTAACCCCAATTCAATTTTTATTTTCATTTTCTTTTAGTTTTAGATAATTAGAAGTGAGCTAAATCTGACTAAAATATGAAATGTTGTTAAACTAAGGGATTGGACCGAGCGAACCTCCCTCCTAGGCCCATTTCTTTTTTATTTTTATAGCCCGTACAAAAATAAATGATTGGATCCTGACATGGGTAGGCCTAACGCCCTTGTTTTTGAGTTCAACACCCTGTACCAATTTCACACTCCTCTGAGCTTTCTATTTTTTTGTTAGATTTAGGACTAACATTTGAACTTTTCTATATTTTTATATGATATAAAATCACAAAATCAATAAAAATTGGTTATATTTTTTTTATTTGATTTTACGAATTAATTCTTGATTTTTTCTATTACTTGAAACTCATGATTCACCTTTGCTTGTCGAGATCTGATTCTTATGCAGGTTCACTATTTGATATGCGGATGTGTTTTGGATTCCGATTGTGATTTATTTTCACATTGACGAAGTTGTGACACTTATTCCAAATATTTGAACTCTGGCTGTTTGTTTGTTGATGCCAGCTCGCGTAAAGTATCTCAGATTTCTTTACTTCGGTTGCACTTTTTGCGGACGTCATTGTTCATTTGGTATTACACTGCTTCCAACTTATATTTTGCATTTACTGCTTTCTAGATATCATGAGAAGTAGGAAATAAAGAGCGTGCGCTCAAAGTCGCCGTTTAAAGACCTGTAGCTGGCATTCCACACTTCATTTGCTATATGTGTTGTGCTTGTGTTTGTTTACTTTCTTGTCGATCGATGAGTCACTCAATTTAGAAATTGAGATCACGACTTCGCTCTCAGTGCATGCTCCCTATAGGATTTTATCGCTTTCCTTTATTTCTTGTTGATCGATGAGTCACTCAATTTAGAAGTTGAGATCACGACTTCGCTCTCAGTGCATGTTCCCTATAGGATAGTTTTGGTAGACTTTCTTTAGCATGCTAACTTAGATAGGATCCCTCATTGTTTGATAACATTAGGTTAGAGATAGGTTAGTCTCTCGTGGATGTTTTCTTCCCGTTTTTACATAATTGCATTTAAAACTAAAACTGCTTTTTCTTTGCAAATATATAAGAAATGCTAATCATACAAAAATTCTTTTCATGATAAAAAATACCAACCAATCCATTTCTTTTCGCCATTCGGCTTTTCTCTTCTAAGAGCATGTTAGCTCCTTTCCACTACAGGTCGTAAGTCTCCAAAGGCCGAGCAATGGTGAAATGATCGAATGCAACATTGTTCATTTACAAAACACTAAACAAACAAAAACATATGAGCCGAACTACGGTAGCTCTGATTCCTCAAAAAGGATGCGTAGGCATTGGGGTAGGGCCCATACGAGTACAAATTTATTTTCCCTACATTCTTTCTCTTTTCTTTGCATGCATTCTCTCCTAGTTTATAACCCTTAAGCATTAGATCGAACACACCCTTTGATTAGAATAACGAGAGTGGATCCCGTAGAGTACTATGGACGTGTGGGGTGCTAATATCTTCCCCTTGCGTAATCGACTCCCTTACCCAATCTCTCGGTCGCAAGACCTTGATTTCCCCTTTAGGTTTTTCTTCGATGATTTTCCTTTCCCTTTCATATGGGATAAATAAATACTTGGCGGCGACTTCATTGATTTTACCGCTACAGATAAAAATGGCGACTTCACTGGGGAAGACATGTCGACCAATTGTTGGTCCATCCCGTGAGTCAATCCTAGCTCCCGTTTTTTCTTTTCTTAGGGTGTTTATCATTATGCTTTTATGTATTATTCATTTGTATATGTTTGAGCATATGTTTGCATTGCATCTTTACTGTTATTTGTTATATTGCTACTGTATTGGTTTCTCTATTTCTTGATGGGTGGGATGTTACTATGAGGTAAAAGGCCCAATACTCAGGCCAAGTGGAAACCACTGGAACACTAGGAATAGAGTGGAACATGAAAGGCTAGTTGACTTAGGTTTCACTATGCCGCCATGTCGTCCACGCTCAGATAAGGTACAAATGAGGGGCTATCGTTTTCACGTAGGTGATACGGCGATAGTTTCTCAGGAGTACCCTCGACTATGAGTTACCATTGACCTTATCGTGACCTAGTCTTTACCCGTGAGTGGGGAGGGAATGATCTTCACAAGTACAGATGGTGACTATACATGTTCCGTTGGTGACTCTGATTATACTGGTGACTTTGATACTTGGTATTCTGATTTGGTCCGGACCTTTGATCTTATTAAATATGACAGTGGTTTTGTTATCAGTTCAATAACTATCCAGCATTGCAGAAACTTCGATCTTATGATTATTGCACTTGCATCATGGCATATTTATTTTATAAAAGAAACGCAAAAAAAAGGCAAAAAAATATATAACTGCCTAACCTGCATTTGCATTTCATATCTAGGATTATTCTAAGGTCTGTCATCAGCATCAAAGATGGATAACAACATGAAGACAAGTTCAGAGCCTCTTAGAAACGCTGCTGCTTATCAGTTCCCGTGCTTTGGTGGTCGATTGTGAGAGGTAGGAGCTCTTGTGAAAGGGACAAATGAAAAAGTTTTCAGAGGACATTATGGAAACTTATTGTCGTTGGTGAATGATGATTTTGAAGAATGGGCCGTGAGAACACTTCTTCAGTTCTATGATCCGCAGCTACGCTGTTTTACTTTCCGAGACTATCAGTTGACACCAACTCTTGAAGAATATGTGCACATTATGGATGTCAAAGTGACCAACAGTATTCCTTTTGTTCGAGCACCAGAGATTCCAGACTATATGGAGATCGCCAGAGCTCTTTATTTGACTCATGGTGAAGTTAAAAGTAATTGGATTAACAAAAGCGACACAAGTGGTCTCCCTCTGAATTACTTGATATCAAAGGCTAAAGGTTTTGCAAAGGACATCAATTGGAAAGCGTTTAATGCACTGCTGGAAGCAATGATTTATGGTTTGGTCCTCTTCCCAATATCTGAGAAGTTAGTGCATCTATCTGCTTTGTATGTATTCATTAACAGTAACCTCGTACCAACTCTACTCGCCAACACTTATTACACCATCCATTCCCGACATGGAAAGAAAGGGGAAGTCATGTGTTGCACGATCGTGCTTTATAAATGGTTAATGATGCATATGCCTGCAAAATGGCCTTTTGTTCATGCTACCGATTCATTTTTATGGTCTCAGCGTATCATGGGACTTACTTTATATGATATTGTTTGGCAAAGTGTGATAGGTTTAAAAGAGATCATTATAGGGTGTGGAGAATTCCCTAATGTCCCGCTTATGGGGACAAGGGGGTGCATTAATTATAACCCTATCTTGGCGCGCCGTCAATTAGGATTTGTGATGTTAGATAGACCCAACGAGTGGGAGGTGATGGATACCGTTTATTTTGGTAAAGGAGAAGATGAAGTGTTGCTTGAAAAGGTGAAGATAGCATAGGGACATATTCGCCGTAAAGGAAAACTTTCTTTCATCCAGAATGGAAGTGTAGCCTATGATACTTATACGAGCTGGATTCAGGATCGTGTGAAGGAAGTGCGGTTACATTACAAAAATGGGAGGTTGTTATATCCTCAACCTGATTTCGATCCGTTAGTGGATGTTCAGGCGGAAAATTCTTTATTCTGTATTGATTTGTCTCCCGTGCAGCCGGTCCCAGAAAGATTAGAGTTCGTGCTTGTAAGAAATGAATGTGGATATGTCATTTGCCTTGCAGGACAAGAAGAAGCTCATGAAAGAGGTTAAGCTGAAGAACCAGTTGTTAGAAAAACATGGTTTGCTTGAGCGGTCGAAAAGACCTAGGGTCGAGGGTTCTGATACTACCAGGCGATAGGTTGAAGAGCTACAGGCTAAGCATCAAGAGATATAAAACCTTTGATTGGCTAAAAAGGAATTGGAAGCTAAGCATTATGAGGAGGTTAAGATGTTGAAG